GACATTAAAAAAAAAAGAAAGTCAAGGAAATCGATTTGAAAACATCATTATAAAAAAAGGGAAAAAAGCTCAACGAAATGCCGACATTGCAAATCACAAGTTTTCATGGTATATCGAATCTATTCCTACGGAACTGCCGGCTCTCGGAGTTCTCACGCGTCGTACTCGTTTTGCGACGATGCACGTGATAGTACCGCAAGCTAACACCGAGACGAACAACAAGAAAAACTCCAGGTGTACTGGATTGCTCCCTCGGTGATCGACTTGACCAAACAAATACCCATGACTTCGTGACATTACAAACCAACGATATGCGAAATATCGATGTTCGAGAACGAAATGCGTTACATAAGAGAAACGGTCATTAAAAATGAGCTTCACTTTCCGTTTTTTTCCTCTTCTCTGTGATGCTTCCTTGAACAAGAAGACTACGCAAGTTGATCACGAAAGAAAGAAAGATCTCCTTTCTAATATTCTTCCTTTTCCTTTCTCCTTTTCTTTCTCTCTCACTTTCTCTCTCACTCTTTCTTTCTCTATCTCTCTCTCTTTCTTTCTTTTTCACTTTCTCTCTCTCTCTCTCTTTCTCTTTTTCTTTCACCCTCACTTTCTCTTTTTCTTTCTTTCTTTCCTTCTCTCTCTACCGTCGAGGATCATTTCGAAATAACAAAGGATTTTACAATAATAATGATTTTTGAAAGCTTTTCGAGTACACACATTGTTTCTCGATTCTGCATTAGTTTTTATGGTAATTATTTAGTTTAGGGTGTTTCCCATCGATTTCGCTGATTTTTGATACATTGTCGGAAACGTAATTCTAAGTAACTTTATCCTATATGTTTATATGTGCACGTCCGAGCCAGCATGTCGTCGGCCTAAGGCGACTGCTTTTCTACCGCTTCTATAAACATATCGCAGTGGACCAGAGTCCATAGGATAAAACCGGTGAACCAATTGAAACAAAAACCGTGGCGGTAAGACCAATTTTCGCAAAATCGACGTACATTGTAAAAATAGAATCTTTTACTTTACAATTGCCTAAAAATTGCCGGATTTAGACTGGAAGGATTGTTAACAATTATAAAGTAAAAGAGTCCCCCCCTAAGGAAACTACCCGAACCAATACCAATACCAATTGCTATTATTTTTATTAAAGGAGAAAGTTGTTCAGAGCAACAATTTTTACAAGATATGTTAATATTATGAAGATTGGTATTACCACTGTAGTTTCTATTTCAAATAGTTCAGTCGTCGAAGAAAAGTTTATGGGAGTTGAATGGGAAAAGCTATGTAGCTTTTGTCACCATAAAAGAAGAAATGCTGGGTACTTAAACATGGTGGAGAACCTCTTACGTTTCGTAAAAGGTTTCCTCATTTTTCTTGATTGTAAGTCAAAGATGATCAGTCCTTCCAAAATGGTGGTCGGAATTACTTGCTGTGAAATTTATGTGTCGCTAAAGCGTCAGCATAATTCAAATTAGTGTATATATTTAAGTATTTAACACAAAATTTAGAACGCGTATAAAATGAAATTACACGAATTTTTAGACATTTGTGAGAATTATGATAATTTAACCGAATTTTTAATAAAGCGTAAAGTAATTTATAAGAAACTGTAAGAAGTGGAATAATTATATGTAATAAGATATTGTATATAACAAATGTATACAAAAAACGCGTAAAAACATGATGCAGATTTAAAATTACTACATTAAAAGGAACGTGATTTGAATGTGCACGTTTACCGATTCAAACAATATGTTGTTTTATTGTACATTATATCATGCTTGGGCCCCCTAATCGGCAGCGCAGATTACTACAGCGGAGAGAGTTGTGTTACTTGTGAATGTTTAGCCAAAAGGATTTATACATATATAGGAAAAAGTTGGTTAGAATTCCGTCAACATATCCAAAAATCAGCGAAATCGGTAGGCAACACCCTAAACTAAGTAACTACCGTTTTTATTTCCCCTTTGTCTCCCTTTTCTCCCGTTTTTCCTTTTAAAACGTGTTTTTACTTCTTTTTTTTTCTTTGAACAATCGACACACACACTTTGCGCAATTATACACCTCTACCAAACGCTAATTTATTTACGAACAAATAGAAACATCGAAAAGGCCAACCCATGGGATGTGTGAACATAGCGATTTATCGCCGGGAACGTCGAGCAATGAAGTCGAAGGATAATCCGCACCTTTAAATTATGCTTTACGGTTAGCTTGTGTTTCTCATGACGCTTTTCGCGATCCACAACAATGGTTCTGAGCCGTCAAACAATCATGCGGCACACGCGTAACACGATAGACAGTAGTGAGAAAAATGCAGTCCGAGCTATGGAACTGCGCAACAACAAGAAACGCAGCACTGCCACCAGAATCCCCATTTGAACGACTTTCTGAATCCAATATAACCTGAAACAGAAAAATCAGTAACGAATTACATATAATAAAATTACATTCTTCAGAAATGTACGAAAATCTATAAAAATTCCCAACTGCATCTTGACATTGAATTCTTTGAAAAGAACTGAAACTTGTTGGCAGTGTAATGTGAATTACATTGTAGCCTGATTAAAATAAGTAATCTTGTAATCAGATACAAACGAACGGGCTAACTTGGCAGTATCTATTTCTTTTGTAATAAGTAAATTTCTAACATTTATATTTTTTTCGCTAAATCATCTCCTCTTCTGAAACTCGTATACGATGAAAATTCTATTATGAGTCAAGATGGCTGTCCATTATCTTAGGGTTACACCAAACGTCGCATAATCAGCAATTGTTCCAAATCACCTAAATCATAAATGCTAATGCGAATATTAGTATACGATGTGACAATGTAACAGAATCTAACCCAGATTTAATCCGGAACACTTGAATCTTCATATTTCGATCTACATTCGTGAAGAATCAATAGAACGTTTCGCAATATTTCCTCGTTTACAACTTCTTCCCAATGCTCATGTATAAAAATTTACGAGTCTTTCGAAGATGAATCCGTGATTCGAAGCGACTATTACATAAACTTTCCCGAAGCTGAAAACTTTCCGGAATACTTACTTTCTAACGTGTGAACGAGCAGCTGGTAGCGTGTCCGGGTTCTCCTTCAGAATAAAATGCCGTATTCCAAGTATATAATGTTCCAAATACGACGGCCAGTCAATTTCCCGTACGTCGAACATGAAGGTCTGCCGATCTTCCGGGCTGAGCTGTTCGCCTAACAGTCGAACATTGTCATCGGAGAAGTTCCATTCATTCGTGCTAAAATACTCCAGGCATTGCGTCGCTTTATGGAGTTTCGTTTGTATGCCGACCATGATACTGGGCTTGCCCTTTAGCCGCAGAACAAAATCTAAAATGTGTGCTGGCAGCATGTGCTGGAAGAGCCTGCATAAACTGTTCATTACAGTGGAAGTGCGGCATTGGCCACCCGGATACCAGATTACGTCGTTCGGTGGATGCATCCGCGTATACTTGAATATCAAATCAACGAACTTTTTCCAAGTGATCGGGTTCTGTCGGCCTGTACAACAATTGTAAACCGGGATCGTTTTCGTGCGATTCGTCGCAGTCCTCCATGCCGCGCAAATCATTAGATTGATCACTATGTCGACTGGCACCAAGTCTGCTATCTTGTCCTCGTAACACAGCATAGTCCTGCAACCATGTGCGTGTGAATATTAGCCCTTCGCTCTATGACTTTCTTCGCAAACGCGTTCGCCAGAATTACTTTGTCATTAACAATTTACTAAGAACACAGAAGAATTCCGTGTTCACGTATATTCACGTTTACTTCAACAAGTTGGTCGGCCGATCGACGCTCATTAAACTACGCATACGATCAAAGTAATTTTTTCCTAACGAAACAGAAACTGAAAAGTCAAGATTGTTCAGAGATTGCTCTCTTAATTTTCTGGTATCTTATAGATCCCAGAAAATTCGATTTCTTCGATATGTCACTGAGAGAATTAAGTTTTACATTTATGTGAAAAATTATGTTACTCAAGTTTAGGTGACATGGCGATCAAAGTGTTAAAACATAACAAGTGATGTTGGTCGAATGGATGAAAAAAGTATCAACGAGTTTCCGAGGAATACGTTTTAGAAAGTATCTAGAAAACTTAACGCACTGAGTGCCTTGCAAAATTCATGTAATTTTCCATTCCTATTAGTAAGACGAATGAATAACATATAATAGTATAATTAGTTAGTGAATAATAATAACAGTGTATATGTACACATTAAAAAAAAGAATGGCAGAAAAGACACTGTTTTTATGAAAAAATGTCGACTGTTCTAAAGATTGATGTAAAAATGTTTGTTTGAGGAAGGGTTAACACGTGCATGCTTCAGTTCATCGTACCTAAAGAAACCTTTGCCAGCAGCGGCAATAATTCCGGTTGGACCGTTCCAGTTGTCCACCCAACCAGCTACCGGTTCCTTCAGCGAGGACAACACGATCGAAGGTCTGACGATCGTAACCGGCAAATAACCGGTCTCCGACTGTAACATCCTCTCGGTCAGGGCTTTGGTGAACGTGTATGTGTTCGGCCGCCTGCCGATCAAAGTCGGCGTAATGTCGTCCACCATTCTGGCATCCATGACCTTCGTCAAGGCAATTACATGCTCGGGTTCGGCTGAGAGCGGATAAATCTCCTCGGCGACGTCTGTGCGGTCGCAATTGCAGTACGCTGTTGACACGTGGACCAAAGCCTGAAAAATAATAATTAATCCATCAAAATTTCTCTTCGATCACTGTATGAATGAAACAAATGGATTCAATTGCCGGGGAAAATTTCCCTTTGGGACGATTGTGTCAACGTTAATGCATTGTTTGTAGGTGTTTCAGTGACAACTTGAAATTGTTTGAATTGGTCGATAATCAATGGTATTGACTTCCATTGAAAATGTTTGCGAGTGTATAAAAAGCTAAACAGCATTATAGAAAAATTGAATGACGATTTGACAACTGAATGAAATATTTACTGATCAATTGAATGCCAGGCATTTGTTAATGAGTGTCGAAGTACGTTCGACCAACAGTGTCGAAGACAGATGTTATCAAAAACTGAACATCCACGAATAAAAGAATCTAGCAAAGAATGAAAATACTATATAATAATGTGTAATTTGTGAATGGCTGTTAAGATTGGGAACATAAAATGTTTTGTTGCGTCAAAGGAAACGGCGAGATGTGAAGTATAAGGGAAGAAATTTTACTTCTAAATTATCCATCCGATGACACAGGTTTAAGAGCTGTTTTGTGCCGACCATGTTGATAGTGACGGACAGCTTGAGTGCCTCGTCGAATTTTACTGTGGCAGCGGAGTGGAAGACGATAGATACGTATCGTATCAGCATATTCTGATCGGCTTCCGAGATTCCTAATTCGTGTTCTGTTATGTCCCCGGCCACAGGAATCACTTTTGAAAGCTCGTGGGGACGGTACCGTCGCAATTTGTCGAACAGCTAACAAAATCAGAATACATTCACATTACAATACTGTCATATTATCGTACAACAATCATTACGTATCATTCTCTTTTCACTTTCATCATTTACAAATTACTGAAATATTACGTTCTCTACGACTTTTATCTGAAACACGTGTTGTCAACTCAGTACTTGAAAAGAGCTTAACCCTTTGCACTCGGAAGGCGATTCTCAGTCACCGTTTGATTTGACGCGGTAAAGCTATAAAATCTGATATTTAATGTTGAACTTTGTATAATGCCTTGATACGTGAAATATTGGAATAAAATAACTTTGTTCCTCAATGTACTTGTGATTTCCCTTCAAGTTTCAAGGAATGTCATCTTCGCCTCGTCAAATAATGTTAAATATTTCTAGTGAGAAATTTCCGAGTGCAAAGGGTTAATAATTTTCTATAAGTAATAACTTTAAAAGAAATTGTTACGTCCTGTTCCTCAAAAGACTTGTTGGTTAATTACCAATTAAATGAAAAAATCGGTTTCCATTTTTTAAGCTGGTTTATAATCGAACAAATAAGTAAATGGCATTACCGGTGCATTCAGCAGTTCCCGCAGCCTCTGCTGAACTTCTTGACCCTTCTTGGGTCTCATCAACACATAAATGTTTTTAATGCCCGGACAAGATCTAAGCAATTTCTCGACGAGCACCTTGCCCATGAAACCAGTGGCGCCCGTGATAAAGATGGATCTGTCCCTGTAGAAGTCCTTTACGGACGTGTGTTGGGTGGCGGTCATTGTGCTCATTTTGCCGGTCTGTTGTCGCGAAACGAAATAATCCTTAATTAATTTCCTTTATACAAAGGGAAGGCTCCAGAAAAACCTTCCGCGTGCCGACAAGAGAATGCTGCTTTCCACTGTATCTATCTTCCCCCGCGGAAGCTGT